ATATTTATTCACCCAAACCATATTTGGTATCAATGTTATACCTAACACCTTTCGCTGGCAATTTAAACAAATAGCATTTCTAAACCTGCAGACAGGTCTTAAATGATTTCTTTCTGTTGCTGACATAGTCCTTGAAAAATAAGCTATAAGGGCTTCCACTCCGCTAGGCAATATGTGAGCTAAGACAGAACCTATACCATAAGGAGATGCATCGCAACATAGGATCAAAGGCAATTGGTTATTAAATTGCATCAATATGCTGTCAGAAGAAAGCATTGCTTTGATAGCGTCAAAAGAATCCTGTTGTGATTTGCCCCACGACCATTGAGCTTGAGAGTCTAATAATCTGTGAAGTGGTTCTGCAATAGAAGCCTTGTGCGGAAGGAATGAGGCATAGAAATGATTACCCTCGCAACTTAAACAAACAACCTGCGCTGTAGGAAGCTGTTGTGATTTGTTCCCTGGGTTCCAGTCTTTTTGTTGCTGCAGTTATTGGCAATTGGAAAGGTGATTAACGTCTTTGCCATAATCTAAAAATTCATCAGGGGTAAACTCTTCAAAATGAACAGTAGCATTTGGTTTAGCCCCTGGATTGCTAATTGTGTCTTGGATCTAAGCCGCAGAGAGATTGGACATCTCAGCGGCTTGAGCCTCTTCAATTGCCATTTTTAAAGTGAGGTCACCTTTTGCTAACAGACGTCTTTGGAGTCTGAGGTCTCACTCCACATACTAGTTGATCAAGCAGCATGTCATCAAGCTCTTTAAACCCGCATTGTAATGCAGCCGTTCGGAGAGCAGCCATATACATACTGATGGTCTCCCCCTCAGCTTGTGCCCGTCACCAAAAAGTGTGCCACCTAGCGATTTTTGATGGTTTGGGGGCATAATGGTTATTCAGGATTTCCTGGAGTGCTTCCCAGGAAACCTCTTTAACTGATTGTGGCACCAATAAAGCAGTGGCAGTGTCGAAGACAGCTTCTCCACAGAAACTTAGAAAATAAGCTTTTTTTCTGTGATTTGATATGTCCGCCAAATTCGCAGCATCTAAAAAGCACTCAAAACGGTTAATGTAGGAATACCACATCTCCGTTGTAGGGTGGAAACACGGGAATGCCAGAGAGGAGGACATCTCATCAGCTGGCTGAGGTAACTTCACTGCGCGCTCCGGCTCTTTGAAATTTCTGTGTGCCTTCACTGCGTCGATCCCATCCTCGTCGCCAGTTTTGTGAGGCACAAATGACGTCCACGATTATGCTAAGTCAACCTGTATTAACTAGTAACTATTAACTGTAACTGTTAACTGTAAGAGTAACTGTAACTGCGGTAACCGCAATAGCCGTTACTGTTGCGAGTCGGCTGACAGGCATGAGCAATAACCGACGCGGTCTGACAGCTCGCTGTCAGACTGCTCAGCCAATGTGAATGGCCTTCAGTTCCCACTCAGCTCAGCCGAACGTAACATTATCTGCATCCTTTTAGAGGGTCGTTGAAGCATTTTGAGATTTATCTGTGTTCTCAGGGTCACCGGAGTAGTGCTCCTGGTTTCTGTAGTCCAGAGGAAAAATTGCAGACTACAGGAACCAGGAGCACTATTCAGATGATCTTGAGGACACAGATAAACCTCCAAGTGCTTCAACAACCCTCTAAAAGGATGCAGATTACCAGCTGTCTTCAAGGAATATAAATCCTTCCATTCCCTACTATCCTATCAGAGCTGAAGAAGCTTCTTAGATGAGAAGCGAAATGTCTTCAAAAGAAAAAAGAAAAAAAACAAGGAAGTCCAATTGCCTCCTGAAAAAGCACCTGTGGGATAGACCAATTATAATTTCTTAATCCAATTTATCTCATAGGTTGGATTCAGTAAGGATTAGGGGACTTAGATATGTACATACCTTAGATTATAGAGTAAAATGTAAATGATACTTATTTTAAATAAAACAAGCACAGTTTGGTCCTCTGACTTGTTTACTTAGAACATTGAAGTATGAATTGGATATGAATGTTTGTCTCAATGTTCTTCCATAAATATGTTTTTATTTCAGATAAAATTATTGTAGGCAGTTATATGGGATTTCTTAGAATCTATAATCCCCATCCTATAAAACCTGGACATGCTATGCAAGCTCAAGATATGCTCTTGGAAGTACAATTATGTGAGCCAATATTACAAGTGGAAGTAGGAAAATTTGTTTCGTAAGTAAACAGTATTGTTGCTTCTGATGAAGCTAATTGGATAGATATAAACTAATTTATCTTACTGCTATGACCAATTTGTTTCCCTAAAGTAGGGGTGTCATACTCACATTGAGGGCCACATCAGCCAAAACTGGGCGCAGGGGTTGATTACAAAATGTGGGCTTTGCTTTGTGACAGCAGGCAAGGGGTGTGTACTGCACAGAAAATACACGTTTGTTCGGTTATGAAGAAATATCCTCAAATTCAGGTGTAGACTAAATGTAGATTGACTTTTAGCTACACACCTTACCAGCAAACAGCAAATTTTGAAGCTCCAGGTAAAGTGGATTCGTTTTAGGCTGAGTAACCACAGTTTGTATGTTGAAGGTTCCTAAAGGAATGCTGGTAAACTCTATTTTAAAGAACATTTGAGGGAGGGGTGCAGAGAATAGCCCTTCTCTGCCTGAGGCTTTAGAGACCTGGCACTAATCAAAACACTGTTTGTGAAGCAACTGATCAACACTGACAGAGAATCCAGTAGTATATGAAAATAAGAGCAAACTCCACTCCCTTCTAGTACTGATGATGTTACCTGGTTGGTAATGCAAGAAAACCATCAAGCTCAGAGAGTACCAAGGACCCCACAGTTCAACCCTGAGCTACAAATATTCTCTTCTATTGATAAATATTTTTTGTTACAGCACTGGTTCCCAAACTTGGCGACTTTAAGACTCTGGTAGACTTCAACTCCCAGAATTCTCCACCAGTCTTAAAGTTGCCAAGTTTGGAGACCTCTGGGTTAGAGGGACTCAGAGCATGCCTCATATGAGATGGCTCCTAGTGGATTTCATTCTAAATTTTGATATGATTTCTGTAAATAATAAATGTAGAATTATAATGGCTGAGTCTTTGATCCTTCATACATCAAAAAAGTACAAAGCTAAGGAATAAACAAATAAAAAACAGATTTGAAAAAAGAAAAGGTTCAGGTGTCAGGAATCCAGCAGTTACTCCAATTAAATCATGAGTCTCGACCCAAACTTCCAAAACTTCAAAAGGATTTATTGGGAGTTAACATGTCCGGCACTGCCTGGGTGTAGCCGACTCTGAGACACATAATTCATTGTCACCCTTGACCCTGGTTTTCCCCTACCCTGTGGGTGTATCATAATTCATATTCTCCAATGTGACATATCCATAGCCAAGAAAAAGAGTGAAAGTATAAGAAAGAAAGAGGAAAAGAAGGAAAATGGAAAAAGAATGACTTCCAACTTTCTTTGGTACATATATAAGTAAAAATATATCAAACTCTTACTCTAAGATTACCATTTGTCTACATTATTTCCATAATCTAATCATCAAAGTTTCAGATCAACTTTTAAATTCAGTTTCTCACAAAAAGTCCAGTAATGGTTTATGTTGCTTTAATCACTGTTAGTTAAAGAAACCACATTTGATTTATTTAATTGCACCAAACTCTAAATAAAACAGGAATGGAAAATCTAAAATTCTAGTCTAAGCCCATGCTTCTCAACTTTGGCAGCTGTAAAGTGCATGGACTTCAACTCCCCGAATTCCCGAGGCAGCATGAAATTCACCCATCTTAAACTTGCGAAGACTGAGAAACGCTGATCTACAGATAGGGATTTTTCCATTCCTCTTTTACTGGTTTTTACTTAAAATTTCTGATTTTCTTCCTTCTGCATACCAAAACGGGAAGCCCTCCCCATCCCAGAGCAATCATAATGCAAAATCCTCACTCCCACTCCATTCCAGAGCAATCATCATCCTCACTCCCACCCCATCCCAGAGCAATCATAATGCAAAATCCTCACCCCACCCCATCCCAGAGCAATCATAATGCAAAATTCTCACTCCCTTCCCATCCCAGACTAACCACAATTCCCTCACTAACCTACTTTTCAGCTCTGTTCTCCTGAGTGCAGGAAAACAAAAGACCATGGGGACTACCAGTTTTTTTTTAAAAATGCAATAGACCTTCCAACTTCTCAGGGAAAAAAGATCTTCCAAAGTTAGAAGGTCTAATTGAACTTTTTTTTTTTTTTTTACTGGTAGTCACATGGTCTTCTTTTGTTGCCCTGAATGCCGGATAACGGAAGTGGAAAAATGGTTAGTGAGGGAATTGTGGTTGATGCAGGAATTTGCAGGATGCCATCCAGGTCAAAAGTGGCCCACAGGTGCGCCCCCCTGCTCCCCATTTTCACTAGCAGAGGCACCGCAGGCAGGTCCTTTGCTATTTCCAGGCCGGCCCCGCAGGCTGGATCTAAGCACCGCACAGGCCAGATTTGGCCTGCAGCCCTTGAGTTTGACACCCCTGCCCTTGCGCACATTTTATGAAATGTCTTGGGATCATAGAGTAGTAATCAAGATACAGGCTTTGGATGCTTACATTTCTTGGAGCAATCTAATACATGTAAAGCTCATGTATTAGATTTCTTAATATAGCTTTAGGATAGAATGTGTCAAACATGGCCTGTGGGCTGGATCTGGCCTGTGATAAGCCCCCAGGCCTGTTCCTGAGATGGTGAGGGGAAAGTGGGCCTGGCCACGCCCACCCAATTGACCCCAATAATCAAACCACATCCCCTGGGGCCCCCGAGGGCAAACAAACTCCTGATGTGATCCGCGACTTGATCGAGTTTGACACCCCTGCTCTAGTTGAATAGAAAAAGGTAAAATAAATTTTACATTTATTTAGTTATTTATCAAAAAAATCAGGAATATGTTATTAGCTAGTTATTAACTTTCTAGTAATTTATTCCACTGTTGCTTAGTTTTGTTGAATTGTAATTTACCACAATGTCCAAAAAGATGTACTGATTTTTTAAGAGTGACAACTTGAAAAATGAGTATTTTTAAAGAAATAATTTATTTATTTATTTATTTATTATTTTAATAATTTATTAAACTTGTATGTCACTAACTCTCATATGATCAAACAGATCATGTAGCTCACATGATCAAACAAATTATAATTAAATAAAATGATAAAGCTAAAAAAATGCAAGTACAACAGATGAGATGGAAGGAAGCAAGAGGTCTCACTTTCCTTCAAGAAAGGCTGAGGAACATCTAACTCTCAAGAGGAACTTAGTTGCAAAGTGCATTCACTGCTGCAGTCAAGGCATGCTTCCAGGGTTCCAACAGATGTCTTTATTTAATTGAAGGAACTCAGAGTGTACCAACTCTGCCGGATTTAATTGGCTGTATAGTTGTTATGAGAGACAGGTAGTTCCTCAAATAATCACATTCTGTACATATAGGGCTTTGTAGAGAAAAATCAGCACTTTGAATTGCACCTTGAAGCAATGCAACTTGTGAGGTGGAGGTTTTACATGGGCATATGAAGGTGTGTCCATTATTGCTAATTCCCCTGCATCAGGGGTCTTCAAATTTGACAGCTTTAAGACTTGTGGCTTCAACTCCCAGAATTCCTCCTCCAGTCATGTTAGCTAAGGAATTCTGGGAATTGAAGTCCACATGTCTTAAACTTGCCAAGTTTGAAGACCTTTGCTCTACATTCTGGAACAAATAAAGCTGCTAGGTTTTTTAAAAATATTATTTATGCATATTTTTTTCTTTAACCAAGTGCTGTGTGAGTCAATTTGCTTATACAAAATAATAATAATGATGTTAATAGTAATCATAGTAATAATGTATTATTATATATAATAATAACCTTTCATCATTTACTTATATATAGTAATCTTTTATCTTCTAATTTCTACCTTTATTATCTAACCACTGTTAAAATAAATCTATGTTAAAAATATTCTGCTTCTTCCTTGTCCTTTATTTTTAATGTCAATCTATCCATTTTGGCACAACCTAATATCCTCTCGATTACATTCTCATCTGTAGGAGTATCCTCATTCTTCCAATATTGTGCAAATACAATTCTTGCAGCTGTCAACACATGTAATATTTAAATATATATTCCCTTTGTTATAATTCTCTGTATTATACCTAACAAGAATATTTCTGGCTTTAAATCTATATGTTGCTTTATCATTTTCCGTAGCCATATATGTATTTTCATCCAGAATTTCTTTGCCTTTGGACATGTCCACCACATATGATAGAGCCTAGTATCTGATTACATTTTCAGCATTCAGCGGACATGTTTTTAAACATCTTTGCTAATCTTGCCGATGGCAAGTGGTATCTATAAAATATTTTGTACAGATTTTCCTTATAAGTAGTTGCCATTGTCAATTTATGGTTTCTATTACAAAGAAACTATAAATTTTGTTTCTTTGCCAATTATCTAACTCTATAGTTATCTAACTCTATCCAAAGTTTTTTGCCCATGTTATCATTGTTTCTTTCATGTTCATCTTCCATTTTGATATTTACTAGATTGCTGTATATTTTCTTTATTAATTCTTCATCTGTCCCTAGAATTATCTGATCTAGTATTGTTGGTTCTTTATAAAAACCGTATGTCTTTATATATTTCTCACATCTTGACTGTATTTGCAGGTGTGACCACCATGCTAGGTCCACCCCTTTTTTCTGTAGTGCCTGGTTAGATCTGAGTTCCCCTACTTCATTTAAAATGTCTTTATATGTTACAATTTTTTCCAAGTTAATAACATTTGGGTGTCTCAGTGCTTTCATCATAGAAAGCCAGAGTGATATTTTCATATAATTTTTTGTTTTGACTTTTTCCCATATTAAAATTTTCTTACATAGTATCGTTGAAAATATCAGTGTATTTTGTTCTTTTCATACTACAGAAAAACATGCAATCCAATTGAAGATCATATACCTCCAACAATAATAACCTTCTATGCCTCAAATTTATCCACTCTTTCACCCAAATAAGTGCAGAGGCCTGATAGTAAAGCTCCCAATCTGGCAATCCAAAATCCCCATTTTCTTTAGATTCTTGTAGCATTTTTAGTCTTATTCTTGCTCTTTTCCTTTGCCATATATATTTCAAGATCATTTTATTTAGCTCCTCAAAGTATTTTTTTCTCTAATTTTATAGGAATTGTTTGAAACAGAAAGAGCAATCTTGGCAAAAGATTCATTTTTATAGTAGCTATTCTTCCCACTTTATAATTTCTCCATATCTAGCTTTATTTGTTGCTGTAGTTTTGTATAGTTATCTTCTTTAATTGTTACACATCTTGCTCTTAAATAGATTCCTAAGTATTTAATTTTCTTTACTACCTGAAGATCTATCTTCTTCATTAATTCCTTTTTCTGTTTCCTTTATTTATTTTCAATCCTGCAACTTCTTCATATCTTTCTATTTTTCCTATCAGTACAGGGCCAGTTTCTAGGGGTTCTTCTAAAATAAATACGAGATTGTCTACAAATGCTTGTAATTTGTATTTTTCTTTTTCTTTTAATTTCCATACCTTCCACCTCTAAGTCTTGTCCAATACTTCTGCTCAACACTTCCAATGTAAGTCTAAACAGTAGAGGGGACAGCAAGCATCCTTGTCTTGTGCCTTATATTAAAATTCTCCCTCGAGTCCCCATTCATAATCACTTTTATCATTTGCTTGGAATATATTGTCTCCATCATGTAATAATTTTTTTGCCAAAATCCATGCATTTTAATTGTTGTAGCATAAATTGCCAATTTACATTATCAAATACTTTCTGTGCATCCAAAAAAATCAATGCCATCTGCTCTTCAGAATATACTTCACAATATTCCAACATATCTAAACAATTCTCACACTATCCTTAATTTGCTACTTAGAAATTCATTTTGATCTGGGTGTACAAATCTACTCAAAAATCTTTTAAGTCTTTCTGATATTATTGAAGCAAATATTTTATAATCTGCATTTAATAATGATATCTGAATCTGGGGATTAAAATAATATTTGCTTCCATCCAAGTATTTGGTAACTTAGCTTCTAACAATACTTCATTGTAAACCTCTAGCATTGGTAGGCTTAATGTATCTTGTAAATATTTATAGACTTCTGCCAGTAGTCCGTCTGTTCCTGATGACTTATTATACTTTTCTTTTTTTATCACCTCTGTTATCTTCATTTCACTTTTGGTAGTTCTGATTTTTCCAGGTATTGCTTTATTTTTTCTTCTGATACTTGGTCGTATAGCTTTCTATAGAACTCCTGAATTATTTTCTTTCTACTCTCTTTTTTTTTGCAGTAATTTTTTTCTTGTTTCAACAAACATTATTCAGGCATGATATTCTTCCGATTAAAATCGGAATTCTGATTTTTTTGGGAATCACCCCCCCTTCCCCCCCACCCCTTCTTCTCCTCCTTCCCCTCCCCTCGGAGGCCCCGAGTCAGGAGTTGCTGGCGCGGCTCCGCGTGGCTCCAGTCCCGCGTTGCCTCAGGAAGGGAAAGGCAAAAAGGAAGAGCCGCGGCGGCGCTTTGCAATGGCAGCAGCGGCTCCTGGTTTTGCCTTTCCCTTCCCGAGGCAACGTGGGACTGGAGCCGCGTGGAGCTGCGCTGGCGGTAGCAACTCCTGACAGCCCCAGCCGGATACCTGAGCGGAGCCCGGGCGGTGCAAGCGGAGGCCGCTGAGCGGCAGGAAAAGGGAGCTGGGCCAGCCACAGACCAGCCTCCGTGCAACACGCCACCGCCCGGCCCTGGCGAGGGAAAGCAGCGGGCGCTCCCCAGGCACGCGGCGGGGGGTCTCTTTTGGCCGGCCCCGATTTTTTTTTCAGAGCGGAATATCATGCCTGATTATTGTGTGAACAATGTGACACTGGAGTGTCTTACATTTTAAAACAAATTTGACAATATTCTTCATGTTTAATACAATTGACAATATTTTAAAATTTAATATTGATATGCTTATTTTGTTAAATTATCATTCTTAATTATTCGATATTTCAATATATTATTTTTGTGTCAATCTCTATATTCTTAACATCAGTCCTTTTACTACAAATAATATATTGATAATCATATTTGCAATGTTTAACAGACTATATAATTCTAATAACAATTCATACATTTATATTGAGTTGTAATTTTCCATTTATCCCCTTTTTAATTTTTAATTATGTCACTGTTATCTTTAAAAAATATCCCCTTTCTAATCACATTTTAATACAAATAAAATAGTATTCATAGTATTACTTTTAAAAAGTTACATAATTCTAATAATAGTACAGTTATTTTTATTAAGTGGTAATCTTTCATTATTATCTTATGCAATATTTCAATATATTATTTTTATGTCAATGAAATTCCACATATCATTCCTTTTCCTCCAATGAAATGTTAATATACCTATTTATTATATTAACGATTATACATCTTAACTAATAATACACACATTTATGTTAAATCATAATTTTTTTAACCATCATCTCTCATTCACATTAAGGCTTTAATTATTCATTTCTTATTTCCCATATTCCTCTCTTAACTCTTTGTCTCTATCTGCCACTTCTTGGCCAATTCTCTTAAACATTTCTCCCTTCTCTACTATGTTTCCTTGTCTCATTTTCAAGTTGTCTACTCTTACCCCTATCTTTCTCCCCCCAAAATATCCCTGCAATTCCAATTCCTGTTTAACTTCCCTTAAAGTACTTTTCCCTTGGTTTATTTCATCAATCGTCATTTTTATTTTTATCTCCTTTTTATAATTTCTTTTTGTTTGTTATTTTGTTTGTTCTATTTTTACAGCTACTCTTTCAGTTGACTCTTCCTCTTCCTTGGACCTCCTGTTTTCTTTTTGTCGTTTGTGTCTCAATTTCCAACTCTATGTCTATGCTCTGTATTTTATTCAAGATCTCCTCACATCTTCTTGTCAAGGTGCTTTTTATATCCCGAATTTACAGCTTTACAAATTTACACTTTCTTTCCAGATTCCACTCATCTTTGTTTTTGTTTATTTTATCTGTTTTTGTTAACTAGTCCAATAATCTTTTTTTTCACACCAGCTTCTTTATTGATACAAAAAGAAAAGTACAAATAGCCTTTAAAACTTCTGGAACTGTTTTTTGGTGCCAGCAGCCTTGGTCACCTTAAGGACGTTGAATTGGACAGTCTTGCTGAGGGGGCGACACTCTCCCACCGTCACGATATCCCCATTTGGCCCCAGTACTTATAGTCCAACAATCTTATTAAAGTCACTTTTCAAACAAGAAATTCAATGTCCAATGTCTAAGAGTCTTTATATCCCCAAATTAATCAATCTGTTTTTTTTAAGTAATCCAAGGGTTTACCTTCATAAATCCCGCTACCAGTTGAGTCTTGTATTGAAGCTTTCAGGAGTCTTTTGATAATAAAGTTCTCTTATTTCTCCCTTTTAATTCTCCATAAGCCAGGTCTTTCCAGGACTTTGGGAGTATGTTATGTCTTTCTTTGACAGCAGGTGGTGCTCTTTAAGGATTATTATAAGTCTCTCTTTTCTGAATACTCTTATTGGGGTTGCACTTTAACTAAAAAGAATTGTCTGTTTGGATTTAAGATACGTTTGATAAGTATACATCAGTATAAAGTTATTGAAAAAATAGTTAAAGTATTAAGTAAAAAAAAGTTTGTATATTACATGCTGTTAGTATTTAGTATAATTTATTGGTTTTCAAGAAGTGTTTTTTAAACACATTTTCAACCTTGTCCTTTCTGCTAGTGGCACAGAATTGCTTCATCTGGCTGTGTTGCATTGCAAAAAATTATGTATCTACGCTGTCTCAGGTAAAAGATGAATCAGATCAACTTACTTTCCCTATTTCCCACTTATAAAATATATATTATATATATTAATTTATATATATAATATATATATTAAATCTATTTCATATTATATAAAAAAGATACCCTTTTGGAAAATTGTCTCTCTCTCTCTGTATGTATGTATGTATATATGTATGTATATATGTATGTATATGTATGTATATATGTGTATATATGTGTATATATGTATATGTGTGTGTGTGTGTGTG